CCCCCCCCCTCCCCCCAACAAAAAAAATGTACAACTAGTTCTGGAACTTCCGCAATGTCATAGGGTATAGGGTACCTCAAATGGACCTCAAACGGGTATTAGCAAGCATTCAGCCCCCTGCGTTATAGAATCCACTTACATGCCGCCTTTATCTCTGCCCAGTTTCTATTGCACTTTCCGTCTGATTCTCCGCCGTTAGGTATTGGCAATTCTTCAAACCCCTGTAGTAGCCTCGTTGAAGTCGGTGACTTTCTGACTCGAGAAGCAGCACCCTCACGTAGGGGAGACCCCGAGGATGACACATGTTGCAGAGGTCACGCGATGCGATCCAGCTGGAGCGTCTCCAATTCTAGTTTTGGGGTACAAAGCTGGCCACACTGTCGAGAAACTACCAAAGCAGGGTTCCAGATTTCAGCCCATTCTATCCGTTTCAGCAACAGGAGGAATCAAAACGTCGCTTTCGTATGTGCCCTAAAGTCACACATACTCCACAGGTTCCATAGGTTATGTCTACTACAATTCCATTCTGAATTCATCATGTCGCTATAGCCCCCCTTAAGTAGATAGAATATTGGTTTTGGGTATATTATAATAAAGATCCCCATCTACCCCATATTCTATCTACTTAAGGGACTATAGATCCTATCAGGACCCTAGGCTCCTAAGGTTGTTCAAGAAGCGGCGTCAGAGCTCCTGGAGAAACTTGACCTCACGGATCATGCCTCCGAGCTGGAGTCGGACAAGCCTGAGGAGGCCCAGGGGAGGTGTATGGCTTAATAGGGAATAGGGGTTTGTTTAGGGTTTAGGGTTTAGGGTTTGTGGTTCAGGGTTTAGGGTTAGTTTAGGGTTTAGGGTTTAGGGTTCTACAGGGATAATGGAAAAGCAAATGGAAAGAACTATAGTATAATTGGGCATATATTGGGGTTATAGTCCCCCTTAAGTAGATAGAATATGGGGTATATGGGGATCTTATTATAATTCACCCAAACCCAGATTCTATTTACTTCGCGGGGACGTAGGATGTAGGGCAAGGGGTAGAGTGAAAAGGGGTTTAAGGTTCAGGGTTTGGGTAGAGTTTTAGCTCGGGAAAGGTGGACAGGGTTCCGTCCCAAACTAGGATGAAAACTCATGTTCATAAGCCTTCTTCTGAAATTTTGAAGGTTTAGGTAGCCTTCATATGGCAACCTTAGGAGTTCCGTTAGCTCTGGGGAGGGAAATTCCACCCATCTAATTCACATAGACACGTCGGGTCGGGGCATAGAAGGTTACTTGGGGTGGTTGAGGATGAAATGTTAAAATTATACTAATAATCACATGAAGAATAACACTAGTATAAATCGCAATAACAATAATATTAGTAGTAGTAATCATGTGTTTGGGGTTGGGGGGGTTTGGATCCGTTGCTATTAGCCTTAGCTGCTTCACACTTTTGCTACTGCTTGGCACATACCTCCATGCACTCAAGCTCAGCAAACGAAAGCCCTACAAGCCCTGTGGTGTTGCTCATGTTGCGCCCTAAACCCTAAACCCCTAAACCCTAAACCCCGCGATCCCCATGCATGGCATTCATTGAGGTACTCGTTCTGGCACCTCAGGCAGTTGGTGTGGAAGAGACGCCGCAGGACTAGGGTTCCTCAAAGGCTCTAATAGAGGAATGGGCACCCTAATAAACTGCGCCTTGGGACCTTGGGGTCCCATAAGTGCGGCAGTTTTTTCTGTTCGGTTTAGGGCTTAGGGCTTAGGGAACTAGATGCAGCATAAGCAGCCTTCTTGCAGTCTGCTGCATGTTTGCTAGCGGGACTGCAAGTGAATACGCTTGATAGAGCGCCCCATAGTGATAGGACTGGCAGCAACCATCCTGTTGTGAGACCTAGACCCTCATAGACTTAGGTTAGTAGTAAGGAAGAAAGGAATATAATCCCTGTATAATAGATTCCCTTATTCCCTACTACTAAGCCCCAAGTCTTGCATCCCCATTTTATCCCCAATGTATATCCAACATATAGTAGTTTCCATTTTCTTTTCCATTATTCCCTATCTAGAACTCCCAAAACCCTAAACGGTTTTCCGACTGCTGGATGGGGGAATCATGGCGCCATACAAAAGAACCCTAAGTCCTAAACCCCAAAGAAGAATCTGTGCAACGGGGGTATACCTTGGGCTTGCCAGGAAAAAGGGATGACTGAAGAAGTGGCGAAGGCCATGGTGATGAGGCGGGCGTTTAGGTTTCAATATGAGCTGTAGTCTAAACTTTATAGGGTATAAAGGGGAGTGTTATAGGGGTTATGAAGGGGGAAACTAGGAGTTTAGACTTTTGCGCATATACCCCGCGTAACTTGGATGCTGCCCCCACTGATTAACCGTTGGATAGCATTTATAATTGAAATATACAGCATTTAAAGTCACCGTTGCTATAGACTGTTGCTGAGCGAGGGCAGTGCCCAATACATAGCCCTCAAGTCGAAAAGCTCTCAATGTAATCGGAATGTAATCCTCACGTGTCCCTTGGGCCCAACGGATCTCCGTGCTTTGAGAAGCCCCAGGTATTTGGAGAATCTTGGGGAGCAGATCCTCAGCTGAAACGGCGCATTTTTGGGGGTAGAAGGTTTAGGGTTTTAGATTTTCTTCAGATTAGAGGTTGAGACTGTGGAGCTATTATTACTAGTATTACAAATATCATTAGCATTACTAATTTTGTTTCTATTGCTAATTATTCTTGCTGAGCTTTTTATTGTCTGCTTGCCGGTCAGTGCTGTGTTTGCTGAGGTTACGATTTGCGGAGGCATGCCATCAATTGAGCTGCTGCTCAAATCTGGGTTCACAAGGAACTTGAGGGGCGCCAGGGGTGTACCCGGGTACTTGGGCATCATGCTCCATATCAGCTATAGGCCAACCTCCTTAACGGGGCTTGATTCTATTGGGGACTACAATGGGGGGTATTGAGGGGCATACTAGGAGTTTGGATGATGGCTCATATCCTGAAAATTGCATCCTAATTTAAATTCACGTCCTTGCGGGGAGGGAGTGAAATTTGCGTGGTGCTCTGTCTCTGTGAGCCAAGCTGTCTGCGGGTGAGATGCATCTAGAATAGCTTTGGAAACATCCTATCTGTGTTAGCGTGCTCGGAGTATAGAGTGCTTGGAGCACAGAATTCCGGCAGAGCCTGCCCTTTGAAACCCAAAATGTTGCTTTCCGTACTTCTATGCCTCAGACACATCTTAATGTACGCCCTTTTTAATGGCCGTCTGCTCAGGGGGATGAAGCCATTGCCAGGGGCATGGAGCAGGATGAGGAGGAGTTCGGCCATGTTTGCGAATAGCAGATTTGGTTTTGGGGGTGCATAGGGGTTAGGTCGTTTAGAATTTGTCAGTGAGACTTCAGTTGGACATCAATGCTGATATGTACCTATGCCATGCATCTGCAGAGGTTTGTAAGGAATCCGAGAGGTCATCTTCGCATCGAAAAACCGTTTTTCCGCACTAAGATTCCATCATATTGCCAAAGAGCAGGATGTGCATTGTGAAAGGATGGAACATGCAGTCCACTGCCCTCTCCTTTGCTGTAATGCTGCCAAAAAGCGCTTGAGAGGTTATTCCTTCACGTGCCTTGAAAAAATATTCATTAAACTCCATAACCCTAAACCCTAAACTCCAAAGAAACCCACCCTCATGTCATTTCTTCCCTCCTCCTTTAGGCCCGTGCTATTCTGCAGGAGGCCGTGGCAGCAGCCGCGATGCAGCAGATCTACCAGGTGTTAGGACCCTCACCAGGGGGGTTCCCAAGTTTAGGGTTTAGGGTGGGGGCCCAAAATATGTTGGGGTCTATACTGGGTTCCCCCCATTTTGGGAAAGCACCACCACTGTTTCGGCAAGCTGCTGCGGGCTTGAACCCTTCTGTTTTTGGGAGTGCAGGCTTCTCAGAAATGATGAGTCTTTCCGGGCGGGTTCTATAAGGACACACAAGTTTATAGGGTTATATGAGCTGTAGTCTAAACTGTTACAGTAAAGGGTTATATAGGGGACTACCACAGGGGTTATGGAGGGGGGTACCAGGAGTTTAGACTGTAGCTCATACAGGGCTGAAGAGGGTTGTATATGGATACGTCGAGAATGGCATTACCCGAAAGAAAGTACTGCCCTGGTTGAAGGGCGGTGGCCGCACCCTTTGTTTGCAAACTACCCACTAGGACTGCACATGTCATCCAAATGAAGAGTTGTTTTAATGACCCGTTGACCGCCCTCCAAGACTACCCTACCCTACCCTAGCCTACCCACCGTACCCTTCCCTACCCTAGTATTCAACACACGCCCCCCACCCTCCTTAGATGAGGAGCACAGCTTGAGGGTGCCGAGAGGCTCCGCGCAGGCGTGGCGAAGTCATTGACTATATCGAGCTATACAGATATGTATGCACAATATCAATGTTTATATATGCTCAGATAGTCTTGGGTTCTTCTACGGGATTATATAGGGTTACGTAGGGTTATGCAGAGGTAGGTACATAGGCTCAATAGGGTTATAGGGTAATAATAGGTGCCTGAAGAACTAGTAAGCTTCTGCTGAGCATGTACTCCAGCAACAACATACCAATTTTTGCCCGTCTAGGCCCTTTGTCCCGTGCCGGGTATTTCATGAAGATTGCGATACTTGGAATAGAACCCCTACATAGCCACAGTTCCATTTCATTCTCTATTTTCTGGTACACGTGTTTTTGCATACCTTAACCCTCGACCCGATATAACCCCTGTATACCCTTGATTGGGAAGTATTGGATTGGCAGGGCGCCGCCAAATGGGGGTGTTCCTGGACGGCCTTTGCGTGACCGCCGTCTCTCCAGGATTCTCGGTCCTAACTCGAGTTGAAGTACGAAGGCTTTTCTGCAATCTTACTAGTCGAGGTAGTCAAGAACAGTACAAGAGCCAGTGAAAATTTGGGTCGCTGTTCAGGACTTCGAACAAAACACAACCATAGTCTCCAATATTGAATATAGACTCACATACATACATACATGCATGCATGCATGCATGCATACATACCTACATACCTACATACCTACATACCTACATACATACATACATAATCATACAATAAACAAGTGTAGAAGGATACATGTTCAGATAGCTTAGTCTTTGTATCCTAGCAGCAGCCCAGAGCCCAGACTAAGGAGGTGTCGGAGCAGAGGTGCTTGGGGGATTGTCGAGCTTAGGGCTGGCGATGCGCTGTAGTCTAAGCTCCTTAAAGGGGGGTTACAGGGGGGATTGTAGAGCGTTTAGGGTTTAAGGGGGTCATATGGGGGATTACATCTTTGAGGGTTTAAGGTTGAGGGCTTAGGGTGTAAATTTAAAGGGGGGTTATATGGGGGATTATATGAGGGACTATACAGGGCTTGTTAAGAGGATACTAGGAGTTTAGATTATAGCTCATGTGCCGTAAAAAGTAGTCTTTTTTTAGAGGCCCCCATAATCACATTACAGCAATCGGGATCCCTTTGGTCCTTTATTTTTTCCTGAGCAGCGGTTGTGCTGCACCTACTTTGTCATGCCCGAAATGCTAAACCCTAAAAAACCTAAACCCTAAAACCCTAAAACCGTAAACCTGAAAACCCTAAAACCCTAAACACTAAAACCCTACACTCTAAAACCCTAAACTCTAAAACCCTAAACACTAAAGCCCTGAACACTAAAACCCTAAACCCTATCATGAGGACAAGCGCACTAAGCCTTCCGGTGAGGATCAGAACCCTCTATACCTGCTACCTGTCAGAGAGACCCTATAAGACCTAATTCCTAAACCCTAAAAACCTAAACCATTGGGCCCTCCAGTTGCAGGCTGGTGTGGAGGCTGGCGACGTCCTGAAGAGATTGGACGACACACAGCTCATAACGCAGGAGGAGCGGTTAAGGTTTAGGGTTTAGGGTAGTATATTGGTGTATACTATACTAGTTTCCTTTTCTTTTTTCCGAATATTACCAGTATTATAGTAGAGTATGGTATATTGATAGTACATTATATATTAACTTGTAGTATACTACTATATTATGGCCTTAAAAAGTACTATTATGGTTCCATATTGGGCGGCAGGATGAGGGATTATTGGAATAATAGAAAAGAATATGGAAATTACTATAGTATGGGGCAATATTGGGATAATGGAAAAGAAAATGGAAACTACCATAGTATGTTGGGGCAATATTGGGCGAATGGAAAAGAAGATGGAAAGTATTATAGTAGATTGGGGTCATATTGATCCAGGCTACAGCCCATACCTTTAGAGTCCCTCGAAAGCCCACCCTCAAGCCATGAGAGCCGCAAATTTCTAAACCCTCAAAGTAGGCAAGGGGATATAGAGGGACTTTAATGGGAACCCCAAAGAGGGAACCCTAAGAATATCCTGGTAGGTATATTCCTATTCTATTCCCGGTAGGATAGAGATCCTTCCATTGCCATGCAATATTTCAAGTGCCAAAGGCACCTGGTTTTGAGAAAGGAGCTCGTGGAAGCCTGCTTATCTGGCAGCACCCAGAAAAGTTTGGTCGTGGAACGTGCCGGGGCTGAGGCCATCACCCTGTTCATTTCTACATGGGTGGTTGTAAAAATTATGGTCCCTTGTTGGGTACCCTAAA